GGTGCGTATCACCCCACTGGGAGATGGCCAGGGTGGAGGATGAAGTAGAAAAGGTAGTGCTTTCTATTTAGAACTGTGAGGCCAGGGCTGACCCTGGCGGCACATCAGACTGGAAGGAGGAGGACCAACAACACAATGGACTCTGAAAATGCTCTTGGGAGTCCATGGGGAAGAAAGGTACCTTACCCTGGCCCGCTCCAAGCTCCTTCTCTGCTCGTGAAATGCAGCTGGACTTTTCAAAGCTGTTGGGAGAATAATCATAAAATAATTACTTTACAGTGAAGCATCATGTCTACGACTACAATTTACAGTGGAGAAGGCATCTTAAATTCAAGTTAATTTTAGCAGTGCCACTAATGTCAGCTGAAGTGATGAAGAAAATGTCACCTGAGTAAGCGCCTACTTTATGGTTCAGCTACCTCGTCGAGACAATTTTGGTTACTTCATTCCTAATGGGAACAGTCACTGCCTAAGCTTGAGCTCTATAAAGCTCTAATACATATGTATATTACTTTATATATAACTTTATATATAAGTCTTATCGAGCAGTCAACCCTCCAAGGATGCCTGCTGGGCCTCACTTTACTCTCAGGGAGACTGGGGGACAGAGCAGAGCTGCAGCTTGGGTCCACTTTCCTTCTTCAACCTCATCAGGAATCACAAAGTAACCAAACTGTCTGAATGAGGCAGTCAGACCAAAAAGACGTATGTCTACTTGGGTGCCATTTCCTTCTCTAGTTCAGCTGTTATTAATAGTGCCGCTAAAATTAACTTGCATTTCGTCTTGCAGGACTACAAGAACTGCACAGTGATTGTTGGTTAACCTTGGCGCTCACATCCAGCAGCTGACCGGAAGGGCTCCCTGAAGCCCCTGTCAGGCACTCAGCTCTGTTCCGGGGCCCCCACCACACGAGCCACAGCTCTCAGCTCCACAAACAACGCTGAGGGTGAGGAGGCCAAAGCAGGACCCTCTCCAAATGCAGCCCCATGAAGACAGTTTGTGTCAAAAACTCGGCAGATGAGGAGTTGGGACCCCCTGAGGACAAGAGAAAAGGCCTGACACTTCAAGTAAGGAACAACAGCAGTAAGAGAGAAATGTATGAGACCGTGGCCAGTTTCACTTCTGCCGCCCCAAAGCAGCTGTGAAACCATGTGTGCAGATAACTTTTGCTGGGCTGCTGGCTGCGGTAGGAGCACAGGGGTAAGGAGACGCTAAAAGTAGCAAGCGCACAGGTATGGCCCTATCCTGCCTGGGCCTGAGTGCTTCCTCCCCCATCCCACCCCCGGAGCTGGGCCTCAGCAGCAGCAGCAGCAGCAGCCCCAGAAAGAAGCTCCAAACGTCCCTGCAGTGCTTTTTTTATTTTTATTTTTATTCATTTATTTTTTAAAGCTTAGGACAAAAAAGAAACTATCATTTTAAAAGATCAGTTGAGAGCCCACCCCAACTTCTAACAGCAGGGGGAGCTCTAGATCTAGCAAATAATCTCTAAAGAAAACCAGCACAAGCTCCCTCCCCAACTTCCCAGAGCATTCCAGAGCTATCCCAGCTCTAATCCAAAGGTCTTGGCATCTCGGTGGGTAAGCGGACAGTCCTGCACCTGCTTCTACTGAGTAAAGTTGGTTCAACTCCAAAATCATTCTCCAAAAGCCCTGATATGACCAGCAGGGAATGAACATGCAGCCTTGCTCTAGAGAGCTTATCACATGCAGGAGACAATGAAAACCAAGAATCAAAGAGAAAACTCAGCCTCCGCCCCGCCCCGCCCCCAGTGGCCCTTCCACCTTATTTCTGTCCATGGTTCATCACCGTCTGACAGTCTCTACAGTCATACTATCTGTCTTTCATATTCGTTTATTGTCAGCCTCCCAATACCCAGAACAGGCTCCATCAGGGCAGGGACTGCATCTGCATCTTTCGTTTCTGACACTATCCCTGGTGCCTAGAGTACCCAGCACGTCATCCATTCAATGAATTAATAAATATTCCATAAGAAATGAATGCAAAGTGTACACTAAGGACAGGGAAACCAGACGATTCCTAAAAAGCCTTCAATTCTACTTCAACACTAGAATTCTGGCTCTCATCTGGGCTCAATACTTGATAGAAATCAGGGTATTTGTTTTCTTGTCCTGGGTTCTGCTGATTACTACTGGTGAGACACGGGGAATGACCGCTTTCTGGGTCTCATTTGCTTCCTCTGTAGAGTAAGAATCTGCCCACCTTCCAGAGCTCTTGTGAGAATCAAATGGGGGTGAAAGGGCTCCGAAGCGAGTGGGGCGCCCACCAATGCACTTAGGGGGCTGCCGTCATCAAACGCAGTGATTTGGTTGAATTGTGGGTGAGATCCCCACGCGGGGCAGCTGGTTTCTGAACCACAGCCACAGATTATAGGACTGAAAACAGCGGCTGGCTGGCTGCCTCAACAGCCTACACTGGCTACCCTAGGGGTAAGGCACAGACTCAGCTTCTGGAAAAACAACTCAGAAAACAAGCATTCCCTGATGGAAGAGGAGTGTATCATCTTCACGTACAACAAGGATGTGGCACCACGAGTGGGGAGAAGTGACAGGTGAACTGGCTGTGGTGGACATGAGTTCCTGTTTGGTTCTACTGAGTCAGGGAAGCTTTCATGTAACGGCAAGGGTGCCTACTTCTGTGGCAGGCCCTATACTAGCTATTTTAAACATTCTGGCTAACTGAATAGTCCTAGCAACTCCATGTGGTGGGCAGTATTCCATTTTACAGATAAGGACAGGCTCAGAAAGGGGATGACAAGCAGCAAACAGCAGA